CATCACTTCTGTAAACAGTGTTTTTATGTCATCTGCACTCTCTCCTGTTTCTTCATTGACTCCAATCAGTCTTATGTTATTTTTCTTTGCATCATCTACCAGCTGCTGGATTGATTTCTCGTGGTCCCTTAAAACTCTAAAGATTTTTTTCTTTTCCTGGTCACTAATTGCAATCTTATCTTCTATATCTGAAATTCTGTCTTCACATTGGCTCATTCTGCTGAATAGACTTTCAATGAAGTTTTTAATCTCCTGGAAATCTGTTTGCATCTATTTTATGGATTCAGTTTGTTTCCTATGTTGGCATTCCATCATGTTCCTCAGCTCCTCTATTTTTTCATCTGTGTCCTCTCTAGATTTATTAATCATGTCTTGCACTAGTAAAACAATCTTTGCTGTTATGTGAGAAATTATTTCTGATTTCATTTTTTCCAGATCCTCTTTCGTTGCTAGTTCTGGGAGTCCAGGTGGTTGAGTATCAGAGTGTTCCATCTCGTTTCCCTTTGAGGTTGCTGTAGGTGATCTGGAAGTCTGGTTCTCAGGCTTGTTTACCTGTCTTCTCATTTTGACGCAAGGGTGGGGGTTTGTTCCTGGCACCCTCGCCACTCACCTCCTCTGTTCTGGGAGCTGGGGCACACCTTCCCGGTAGCCTCCTCTATGCTGAGAGCCATGGCATGTCAAACTGGAAGTCTCCTCTGGGCTCCGAGCTGTGGCACACTACCCTGGAAGTCACCTCTGGGCTGGGAGCCATGGCATGTCGACCCAGAGGTCTCCTCTTGGCTGGGAGCCGTGGCACACCTACCCTGAAGCTTCCTCCTGCCTGGGAGCCATGGTGCACTGACCTGGAACTCTCCTCTGGGCTGGGAGCCATGGCACACCTACCCAGAAGCCTCGTCTATGCTGGGAGCAGTGGCATGAGTACCCAGAAGCCTCCTCCTGCCTGGGTACCATGGCACGCCGACCTGGAAGTCTCCTCTGTGCTGGGAGCCATGACATGCTGACCTAGAAGTCTCCTCTTGGCTGGGAGCTGTGGCACACTGACCCGGAGGCCTCCTCTGTGCTGGGAGCCATGGCCCACCTACCTGGATGCCTCCTCTATGCTGGGAACCATGGCACACCAACCCAGAAGCCTCCTCCTGCCTGGGAGCCATGGGATGCCGACCTGGAAGTCTCCTCTGGGCTGGGAGCCATGGCACTCCAACCCAGAGGCCTCCTCCTGCCTGGGAGCCATGACACACCTACCCAGAAGCCTCCTTATCACCTACTTTGATTATGTTTTCAACCCAGGGCCTAAATCTGACCACATTCCTGTCAGACCCTGGCCTTCAGACTTGACTTTCTTTTACTGCATCCTATTCCAAACAATTTGTCAATTTGAATTTTAAAAATACATTTAAAAATAAAGTAAAAAAATATATTTTTGGTTTTTAGAGTTAATTTTAAAGAAAAAAGGCAATGATACAGAAAAAATAGTGAAAAGGGAGTTTGGTTAGGATGTTCTTGTTAATAAACAAAGGTGTTGAAATAACATTCTTCAGACTGCTGCCCAAGATGAAGTTGCTTCAACAATATCATTGCTTTACCCAAATATCCCAAACTGCACCCCCTAGATCATCCTCAGGCATCATACCTCTCTTACATGTGATGAGGGGTCCAATGAGGCCAGTTGCAATGTCTCTTGGAGCATCTACGTGAGAATGGTAGATCCAAGTGAGGCATGCTGGGTCAGCATTGGTGGGGGCATGACTTTCTGGAATGGTCCAGTTGTATATATGGCTGCCTCCCGGGGGAATAGAATCATCATCTTTCAGTGGCCCAGAAGAGCCATCTGGGTATAGGGAACCTAGAAAATGAAATTGTACATGTCTAGAATCAGAGTGAGTGAGAGGAAGAATGGCAGACATAAAATCCAAGAGAGGGCAAGTATATAGAACACTCAGATCTAGTCTTGAAAAACATGAGATCCTAAGGTCCTGCACAGTGTTCCTCACCCCAGTCCTCACATAAAAAATGGGTGGAGAGACACTGGCCACTTCGGAAGGAGCAAACCTGATAAAGTGCTGCAAGTCCTAACTAGTAATGCCATAGTACAAAGCTGGTAGCATGGAAGCAAAGGAGAAGACAAAATTCCCCAATCACTTTGGAAAAATTAATAGCAGAAAAATCACACAATTTCAACTTAAAGACAATTTAAGGATCAGTTGGCTCAATTCCCTATTATATGGAAAAGAAACCTGAGAAGTAACTTGCTCAAGGTCATGTGGGAAGTTAAAGGCCAAGCTAAGATCTCCTTACTTTGTTCCACATCCAACACCTTAAGTTCTCCTCATGTCTATTTTTCTTTTTAAATTAATCATCATAGGTTGTTGTTCTTGTTTTTGTGTTACTTGGGATCGAACTCAAGACCTGTGCACGGAGCTATATCCCTAGCCTTTTCTTATTTTTTATATTTAGACAGAGTTTCTCTAAGTCACTAAACTGTCCAGGCTGAACTCTACTTGCAATCCTCCTGCCTCAGTATCTCAGAGTCCTAGGATTACAGGCATTGGTCATCATACCCAGCTCACTACTGTGGTATTTAATGAAAAGACTTGTTTAAAATTGTAAAGGACAAAATGGGAAAGGATGGCAAAATTTTAGCAGTGAAATGATTAAACAAATTGAAAATATTAATGCAAAAACATAACAATATTAAAGCATATTTTTGTAATTGTGATTACTGCTTAACAGAAGAAATAATTAAATTTGTTCTTCTCAGAAGTATATACACAACTCATTCTGACCACATTTAACTATATATATTCAGCAAATTATTTTCTTCACTTAGTCAGACCTTGCTCAAATCTAAATTATAAACTCAGCACTTACAAATATGAAAATTCATTCATAAGGAGAATGAATATTTCCATTTCACCAATAGAAAAGAATTTTAAAAGCTAGCTATATATTCTAGGAAAACAAATTTAATTGAACACTCCAGGGATGAGGATTTTCTGGTGTAGCAGTGTTCAAATATATAAACAGTAAGGCAAAACAAAACTACTACTTACAATATCATGTTCTGGTTTTAGTTCATCCAATGATTTTTAGTACAAAAATAGAAATAACTCCTTCATAACATCTACAGTTATCAGTATATTTTCTAATTTCCAATGTGAAATAATAATTCAAAATGATCTACATACACAAATTTGTCAGTTCACATTGTCATATAAAGATATACACTTTATATGTAGTATAAATATAAATGCTTTCATTAAAAAGGATTTTAAACAGCTAGATATGGTAGTGTACACCTGTAATACCAGCACTCTGGGAGGATGAGGCAGGAAGATCACAAGTTCATGACTAACCTTGACAACTTAGTGACATAGCAAAACCCTGCCTCAAAATAAAAACTAAAAGCAGAGCTGGGGATGCAGTCCATGCAAAGCCCTGAGTTCATTCCCCATTGCCACAAAAAAATTATTTTACAGTGTATTCTTCAGTTTGATCTGGAACAAAAGAAGAAAGGTTAAATAAGCCTAAACTTGCTATAAATAATGAATGATACATTAATAACACCTAAAAACCTGCATAGAAAATGAGCTTGAAATGATAGAGTTACTTTAACAGATGGAAGATAAGGGATGTTATAATATATTTCACTAAATATTTCCATTCAGAAAAGAAAATGATAAAGTGATTTTAATTTCTATCACTTCTAAAAAAAAATTTTTTTACCCCATGCCTCAGATCAGAGCAGAGATCTCTGATCTGCTTGGTATTGTCTGCGATCTGGCTAATGGAAACGTTACATGGGCTGATGTCTTTGAAGGGCAGGAGACTGGTAAAGAACAGGAATGAAATCAATTTTTGCAACTTTTGACCACATATGCTAATAAAAATTTAACTCTTACCATCTCCACTTTTTAAAAAAAAAAAAAAGAAAGAAGGGAAAATTTTTAAAAGTGAGCAGAAGGAAAAAAGGAAACAAAATTTTTGTAAATAAGGGGGAGGGAGTTGCAGTGAGGGGAGGGGATGGGGGAAAAAAGAATCCACATATATTACGTACTTTTTCCTTTCCCTTCTTTCGTTTCCCCTACCCCTCCCATTTCCCCTTCCCCTTCCCCTTTGCAACATTTCTTCCTATTTCACATTATCTGCTATACATTTTGACCCTCATTTACATTTTCAGTTTCTCACACCAGAGAAACTATTCAGTATTTACATGTGTGTCCTAAAAGGAAAAAATAGAAACAAAGTCTTAATAAATAGGGAGGGGTGGATGGAGTTGAAAGGAGGGCAGAGGAGTGGGGAAAAAAATAAGAACCAAGATATATCCTGTAAAGGTGCAAATTCCCAATGATGAATGTCATCATACTGTATACCTAAAATGTACCAATAAACTTAATGAGTTTTAAAAGAAGATATGTTATGTATAGGTACAAATTCCCTATGATGAATGTGACCATTATGTATATCTAAAATTTACCAATAAAATTAATTTTTAAAAAATAAGAACAATATTTGATTGCACCCAGGGGCTATATTTTATTTTAAGTGGCTACCTGATTATATTAACACAATTAAAGTTGAAAGAATTCTACAAAAAGGGGGACACATTTCTCAACTTTATCCTTCTAGGGAAATGTTCTTTAAAAATCTCTTATTTGGTTAGGGTTTTAATATTATGAAGACATTTATAATTATTCTAACTATTTTGAGAGATATATATAGCACATTACTGTTAAGTATATTCAGTCTGCTGTACCCCAACACACTAGAAATTTTTCTTGCTGTCTAAATATAAAACTGTATCTGCTGGCCAAGCTTTCCCCCAACCCCCTTCACCCGTACTCTTTAGTCTTTGGTACCCACTGTCCTACTCTCATCTTCTATAAGATCAATTTTTTTTTAGTACTGGGGATTGAACCCAGGGGTGCTCTACCACTGAGATATATCCTCGATCATTTTTATTTTGTATTTTGAAACAGAGTCTCATGAAGTTGCTCAGGCTGGAAAGCAAACTTGTGCTTCTTCTCCCCCACTGTCCCCAGTGCTGGAATTACAAAGGTGTGTTCAGATGAGACAATCTTTTTTTTAGATTTCACATGAATAATATCATGTGATATTTATCTTTCTGTATCTAGATTATTTCACTAAACATAGTGTCCTCCATGTCCATCCATGTTCTCATAAGACAAGATTTCCTCCTTTATATGGGTGATTAATATTCCATTATGTACATATATATCAAAAAAAAATTTTTTAGTGCTGAGGATAGAACCCAGGGCCTCACACATGTTAAGCAAGTACTCTACCACTGATTTATACTCGCAGCCCTACAGCACATTTTCTTTTTCCATATGTTGATAGACATTTAGGTTAATTTCATATCCTAGCTATTATTATGAATAGTGCTGCAATAAACATGTAATACAATGGACCCTTTACTTACAAACTCAATTCTTTAGTGAGGGCTGGTTGTAAATCAAGTTGGTCAACTGAAGGCTCAGGCTCCTCTACACAGCCTTCATAGTCTCTCTCCTGTATCCAGGCAGATCTCAGTGTCTTTAGAGAGACATTGGCCCAGGATTTCTCAATTAACCCCATACAGGAAAGGATGTAGTAATATTCCTTCCAGAACTCTTTAAGGGTTAAATCTGTATCTGAGACCATCTGGAAACACAAATGGCCTACATTCGGTTTATAACTCAAGATTTTGGCCATAAGTTAAAACTAAAATTCATTATAACCCACGTTGTTCATATGTCAGGTTGGTCATAACTCTAATGTCCACTGTACAGGTGTCTTCTCAACATGTTGATTTAATTACTTTTAGATATATACCCAGGAGTGGGATTGCGGGATAGTAGAGTACTTTCATTTTTATTTTTTATGAACTTCTATAATTTTACATAATAGTTATCTTAATTTACATGCCCATCAACTGTATACAGTAGTTCTCTTTTCTCTGTATCCTGACCACAAGCGAGGATATTCTGACTTCACTCTGTATTCCTCTCATTCACTGTTTAAGTATTATAGGTCCCTGGAGGATACAGAAGAATAAGCTGAATTCCCTCTTATGAAAAGAGTTGGACCTTTTGAAAAACATTACAATAACACATTCACAGCACAGTTCTCTTTTCAAAGCATATTCAAATATTCTATGGAAATGTTACTAAAGTAGCTCCTTATGATAAAAAGAAAAATGTTGTACCTGCACATTCTTGATAAGGAATCTGAAGCCCAAAGAACAGCAGTGACTTGCCCAAATCACTCAACGTATGAATAACAAAACTGATACCCAGCCATGTTTTCTTTGAGCAAAGTCTTCGCCACCTCAGACTGATAAATAAGAAAAGACTATCCTTGCTTCCAGCTCTTCTTTCTCAGATGCCATTAAAAGAAAAATGATACTGTATGGGAGTGAGAGAAAGAAAACGTGGGCTGCTTTACCTTCTGAGTCCTTTTCATAGAAAACGCCATGGGGGTGGATTGTATAGGGACGAGAGGCAAAATTCTTCAGGTGGATAAGGATGACATCCCCCACCTCAGCCTGTAACACTGGCCCCAAGAAGCCCAACCAGGCAGGCTGGACCACTTCATCCATGTAAGAGTCATCCTTGTATTCCTTATAGATGGTCTTCTTGTAGCTGCTCCCTATCCTGTTCTTGTCAGGCTTTAGAAATCTGGAAGCCTCTCTGGGAAAGAAGAAAATAGTTACAATTTTTCCACCATCTTTAAATCACTGGAAATCTCTTTTCCACAGAAGTCTGACAAAAGTGTTTCTATCAGCTGGACATCGTGGTACACACATAATTCCAATCATTCTGGGAGCTGCAGCAGGAGGATGGAAAGTTGGAATCCCGACCGGGCAACTTAATGAGATCCAGTCTCAAAATAAAATTAAATAAATAAAAAAGGGCTAAGGATGCAGCTCAGTACGAAGGCAAACAAAACAAAACAAAAAGTTTCCATGTCTAGGGCAAAACGAGAGAAAATTATATTTACAAAAACATAAAGGCTTTAGGTTTAACATTTAGAAAATAGTAGTAAGTTGAAGCACCTGAAATCTCTGATATTTGATGATTTCTTCACTTCCAAAAAGGTAATTTCACATGATTCAATCCAATATATAGTAATAGGGACATAATCAACTGGATACTGATTCTATTTAAATGATCAGATCTCCACTGATGTGCCCTTGGCATCATCCTGCTATATATGTAGAGCCTTAAAGCATAGTGGCTATGATCACAAGCTGTGCATCCAGACCACTTGGATTGAATGCCAACTTTGCTACTTACCAGTTTGTGGGATGTTGAGCAAGTTACTTAACTTCTTTAGGCACAATTTCCCCACTTGTAAAATGAAGATAATCACAGTAACTAACTCAGAGACGTGTTACTGGTGAATAAAAGAATTAAAATTTAGGTCTGGGGGTGTTGTAGCTGAGTGGTAGAATGCATGCTTAACATGTATGAGGCCCTGGGTTTGACTCCCAGCACAAGATAAAGAGTAAACTAAGAATTAAAATATGTAAAGAACTTAAAACAACACTATCTGGCATATTGAAAAAGCTCAGAAAATGCTATTATTTCATAGTATTAGGGATAGATGATAATAAAGTTATTCCTTCAAGGACAATTTTAATACAAGGACTCTCTGACTTCAAAACTAGGTGAATAGCTTGTGTTAAAAAGACAGCGCTTGTGCTACACATAGCTCTTGCATGGAATGCCTGACGTCCTGGGCTTAATCCCCAGCATTGAAAAAAAGAAAAAAAAGCAGAGCTGTTAATCCTGCTATAATTCTTCCTAGAGAGCTCAGAGGTACAAGAGTTTTGGAGTCAGAAAGTCCAATATTAAAATTGTCTCTGAAGGAAAACTTCATTATTTCCCATCACTAAGTAATAGCATTTTTTGAGGTACTGCATTGTGTCCACTTTGAAAAACCTTGATGCTTTGGGGAGATAAACTGGGTCATTGTCACAAAAGATTTTTTAATATATTCATTCATATTTTTCAACAAATATATATGGAGCACTAGCAAGTTTCTAAAATCAAGAAAGTTTATTCCAATCAGGCAAGGCGGTTCACTCCTGTAATCCCAGTAGTCTGGGAGGCTGAGGCAGAAGGATTGCAAGCCTAGCCTGAGAAATTTAGAGACTATGTGAGACCCTATTTCTAAACAAAGGGCTGAGTATGTAGGTCAGTAAGAAAGCCTGGGTTCTATTCTCACTACCAAAAGATAGAGAGGGGAAGAGAGGGGAAGGGAGGGGAGGGGAGAGGAGGGAGGAGAGAAAGAAAGAAAGAAAGAAAGAAAGAAAGAAAGAAAGAAAGAAAGAAAGAAAGAAAGAAAGAAAGAAAGAAAGAAAAGGAAAGAAAGAAAAGAAAAGAAGAGAAGGAAGGAAGAGAAAGAAAAAGAGTCACACATACTAGAATTTTTGTCAGAATTAAGTGAGACAAAGTTTGTAAATGCCTAGTATAGTATATGTCACAGAGTGTTATACTAATTATAGCCATTAGTATCATTTCCTTGCATCTAAGGCTTACTTTGTTTTTTAATTTTCTTATATGTATCTAAAATCAGGATAGCTTCACCAAACTATGGAAGCAATAGTTTCTTTTTTTTTTTTTTTTTGGTACCGGGGACCAAACTCAGGTCCTTGCACTTGCAAGGCAGGTGGGGTAAACACTGAGCTAAATCCCCGGCCCTGGAAGCAATAGTGTTGCTACACATTTACAAACACTGTATATATTTAATATATATTTTTGTTAGTATATGTTTATAGTACATAATATTTACATTCCTTGTGGGCATTGGTACATGTACATAACACATTTTTATTCCTTTTTTCATCCCCTTTCCCTCATTTTGCTCCCTCTCCGTTCATCTCTTGATCCCCTTCCCATTTGAGAAGGATCTTTCTCCCTACTTCCTATTATCTTTCTATTATTTTGCTCTTTATTTGTACTTTTAAATAACCTAAACAATTGTTAGAATCAAGGAAACACAAGATTATCTTTAAGATTCTAAAAATGTTCAGGCACATCAGTGTGGAAAAGTGGACACGAGATGGGATGCTGGCTCCTGAATCAACTCTTTCTAGGACACTTCTTGCATGTACAGCCCAGAAAGATCAGGAACTGACTGATACCACATCCTTAGAAAGCACCCAAAAGGCTACCTCCTGACCTCAGGGATGTTCTTTTCCAATGCCAGCTATAAAACCATAAGAGATTAAACCTACTTGTCACTGTCCAGAGGCTGGTTTGTGATGATATTCCTCCCCTTGGGAGCATAGTTCCACTGCACGTCCTGAATGCCCAGGTAGTAGATTCGAGTGGCCCCATCCGTCAGTAGTGGCCAGAAGGACTGCATGAACAGTAGAGCCCAGAGAAGGTGGCCTGGCTCCATGGCCCACATTACTCTGGGAAACAGACAAATGAAAGCTGCTGGTATGAAAGAAAGACAGCAAACAGCTTTGCGTGTGTCTGGAAAACCAAAGAGGCAAGGGCCAGATGGAGTGGCTGAAAAAGCAAAACTAAACAATCTCAGCTCCTCAACCTTATGTAATTACTTTCAGTTCAACAAATATTCAATGATCTGTGCAAATCAGACTTTGGAGGACAAAGTTAAAAATTCATTTGTACCGATAAGCATGTATCACTTCCTTTAGAAGAGTTCCTTCAGTACTAAAGAAGAAAGAATTGCACTCTGTCCCAAGAATCAGGAATCAGGCACCAGAAGCCTGATTAGACCACACTGACTCACTTGGTACCTATATCAAGTCATTAATTCTTCCTCTGCCTGCTTTCCCATAGGCAAAAGAGAAAGATTCATTGCTACTCACTTCCTATCATCTATGAATTGTTTATAAACAAATGAGAATTCATCAAAAGACATTTACTGGAATATTCATAAGCCCAAAATTGAAACAGTCAAACTGTTCATGCATACTAACATGGATGAGTGAATTGCATTTTATTCCTACAATGGATTTCAAAATGGCAATAATAATGAACAAGCTACAACCACACACAACCATACTGACAACTCTCAAGAATTTAGTGTTGCAGAAAGAAACTGGTCACAAAAAGCACACATACTGTATGGATTCATTTATGTAAAGAAAAAGAAACAGAGAAAAGTAATGTATCCTATTAGAAGTAAGAATAGAGTCTGGGGATTATGGCTCAGTGTACAGCATTTGCCAAACATACATGAAGCCCTGGGTTCCATCCTAAGCACCAAAAATATTTAAAGGAGGAAGAGGAGTAAAAGGATGAGAAAGAGAAAGAGAAGTGTTTGCCCTTGAGGTAGGCATCAATGAAGACAAGAAAGGTTTCTAATATTCTTGCTTCTTCACATATGTGTCAGTTGTATGGGTGTTTCTCATTTGTAAAAATATACTGAGCTACCAGCTTAAAACCTGTGCACTTGCATGCATGTTATACTTCAAAAAAGTTAAAAATGAAACAAAAACAAATAAGAGTATGTGAGGGAAATATACTGAACTTCTCAGAAGAAATGCTCTCTGCTAGTTCCTAAGGCTAGGTGCAAACCCATTTTACAGGTCCAATCCTGAATCAGATTCAGTCCCAAACTTCTACCCTCTCAATTCCTCAATATAAACCAAGAGGTCAGAATTCTTGGACTAGGATAAAACACTCAAGCATATCATGCACTGCTAGTCAAACTCCAAAACACAGAGAACATCACATAAACACACGCATACACACATTTGCATACATAGGCACATGCAGTCTTAGTTAAAGGCAAAGGTGCATACATTTACAATCACACATAGAACTCACTGACACAGATTTACCTTTAGAATAATAAATAATAGAATAATGATAATAATAATAATCAGTACTTACACTTTGTCCCTGGTGCACCTATTTTCCATAGATTATATCATTTAATCCCCACAAACCCCCTATTAAGTAGATATCATTATTATCCCTATATTACAGTAGAGGATTGAACAGAAGTGTAATTTTCCCAAGGCCATCTAGTTAACAATAGGTACAGATTTGATTCCAGGAAGTATGACTTTAATATCTATTATCTAAATCGTATGGCATCTGCCACAAATACTTATTTGCACACTCACATGTATATGCACAGAAAACATGCATATGACCATAACTATAGCTATATCTAGCAAAAGGATACACTCTAAAACATGCAATTACATGTGATTGATTACTTTAGAAACATACATACATTCATATATAGACAATGATAATAATGATAAAGGTGACTACCATTCATGAGAGATTACTACACACAAAACACCATATTCATTGCTTTATATAAATTATTTCACTAAATCTTCAGCCTAAGTACATGAAATAGAGATAATTCATCAAAAACAGAAAATTAATCCCCAGTAACACAAAAGATATACACAAAGCCAGGTGTGTTGGTGCATGCCTATCATCCAAGTATTTTAGAAGGCTGAGACAGAGGGTTACAAGTTCAAGTCCTGCCTAGGAAAATTAGTGAGATACCATCTTAAAATAAAATGAGGTTGAGCATATAGCTCAATGATAGAATGCCCCTGGGCTTGATACCCAGTACTACACACACACACACACACACACACACACACATACACACACACACACACACACACAGATATGCACAGATTCACATATAAAAAGAAAAGTTCCAGATATTTACTTTGATTTAAAAACAAACCTATAGACTTACTTACAAATTCTCAGGCTTTTTCAAATGCAGCAATCATCCAAGTATTACTTCCTAGGTTCCAAATTACATTTGGCAGAAAGGCCTTTATTTAACAGACAACCTGTTTGGGAGTTCTTTTCAAAGCTTGGCTCTCCCGTTGATAAGTTATGTAGCCTTGGTTATTGCTTTAGAACTATTAAACTGTTTTCTCTTCTGTAAAGTGGCTGTAATAATATTAGCCTTGAAGAAATAAATCAGAAAATATACATGAAGGGCCCCCTGTAATATCAGTGTTTAGAACATAGTAGGCAGTCTCTACTGGTTTCCTTCCTCTTCCTTCTCACTTGGCTACAATTTATTTTTGCTTGCTTGTTTATTTATGGTATTAGGGATTGAATCCAAGGCCTTTGAACTGAGCTACATCCCCAGTTCTTTTTTATTTTATTTTTTATTTTAAAACGGGGTCTCATTAAGTCATTAAATTACCCAGGGTAGGCTCAAACTTGTGACCTTTCTACCTCAGCTTCTCAGAGTGCTAGGATTACAAGCTTGTGCTACAATAGTCAGCTAGTTTTCCATACTATGTACATTTCTACACTAAGGGCTAACTTAAACCTTAACTCCTCCAGAAGAACACCGCTAGCCTCTCTGTACCACTTAGGGCTACATATTCTCTATAGCACCTGACTGGATTAAGTCAGACTTTGTATTATTGTTATTTTCTAAGATGCCTGAACTATTTTTATTTTCCAAATTGCACTCTAAACTCCTTGAGAGTAGCTGTAATGTCATAGAAGTGTCTGTGTGTCTACTACCCAATGTGGCTATTTCAGTCCAGTAGGCGGACCATAACAGAGATTGCTAAAGTGACACAAAGAGGCATAAGCAGACAGTCCTGGTGGTGCAATCCTATAATCCCAACACTCTGGAAGGTTAGGTCAGGAGGACAGCAAATTTGGACCCAGTCTGGGAAAGTTAGCAATGTAACAAGACTTTGCCTAAATAAATGAATAAATTAATTAATTAATTAAATGGGCTAATGATATAGCTCAATGTGAAGACCCTAGGTTCATACACACACAAAAAGAGGCATAAGCATGTATTATCCCACCAGTTGGCTCTAGTTCAAGTTCTACCTCTTGTTCAAAGAGTGACTTTAGGCAAGTTTATTCACCTTAATAAGCCTCAGTTTCTGATTTATAAAATAATAAAATATGTAGAGCTGGAATATATGGCTTTTACCTTGTGGGAGTAGTAGAAGTATTACAATCTAATGAAATACACAAATACAGAAGTATCAAAAATATAGTATGTAAGGTGTTCTTAAAGAATTATTACACAATTAATTTAAAAAAGAAATCCAGAGCATAAAAAAGAGTCATCACAGCTTTCACACAATGCCAATACACACATTCACTGATGAAACACAGGTACACTCACATGTACCTACAGGCAGTACTATATATGTTCACACAGATGACCATTCCTTGGAAACCTCAACAGGAAAGGAGTATTCTTTGCTCATTGTAAATTAAGTGCAACATGGACCTCCTTCAAGTTTCCTTCTCAGAGAGGTATTAGCAAAGCAGTTGTGCCTTGAACTTATTTATCTAAAGAGAAAACTGTCCCAAGCAGGACCTCCACAATGGAGAATCACATGGTAAGGTTGAAATGTTCCCAAGAGAGACTAGTTCAGACTTTCAGTATACAATGAATAGGCATTCAAAGGTGGTGAAGACGACTGGTCTAAAAGGCTTAGATAACAGACCCTGGGGAAAAAAACAGCTACCTACCATTCTTCTAGCAGTTTCTGCCTTACAATGTGTTTTTCACACCTGCCATCTTATTTAATTTTCAAAATCTTAGGAAATAAGGATTGTGTTCAACATCTTCCATCCAGGGCACAGGCTTTGGAATCACACTCCCTAAATGAATCCTGGCACCTTTTTTCCTAGCTGTGTGATTTAGAAAACTGCTTCATTTCTCCAGCCATGGAGTTTTCATCTTTAATACTCTTAGTTGCCTCATAGAGTAGTTGTGAGGATTTAATGAATTAAGATCTGTAAGTGCACAAAGCTCAATTACCTATAAGTGCAGCTCTCAGTTGTAATCCTAGCTATTCAGGAGGTTGAGACAAGAGGGTTTGTCAGTTTGAAGCCACTCTGGGCAACTGAGAGATCCTGTCTCAAAATAAAAAAAAATAAAAGAGCTGAAGATGTAGTCAGTGTGAATTCCTGATGTTCAATCCTCCATACCACAAAAAAATGCTTAAGTATTCATGGCTATTGTTATTACAAATGAGGAAATCAATTTATAAATGAAATCTGCCAATTAAAACTTTACCTTTTTATCACATTTTTCAATGCTAAGAATAGAACCTAGGCCTTTATGCCTACTAGACAAGCACACTACCACTGAGCTACACTCTAGCCCAAATTTCTGATATACAGAAACATAAGTATGAAAGCATGTGTACATGGGTATTAAAATGCCAGAACTTTTGAGTCAGATAAACTTAGGTTTGAGTACTGTTTTAAGTTGTGTTTAAATGAAATAATCTTACATGGCATCTGGGACTTAGTAGGCACCTGGTAAACACTAGTTTTTCTTCCTTCTAATTACTGACTTTCTTTCTTCTACAAGGATTTGTCATTGTTGTTATTATGGGTGTTGTTGTTTAATATGATGTTTAAGTGCAGAATAAAGGGAAAGCCTATCAGATTCCTTTAGAAATACTTGGATATTTGATGGTACTTAGAAAAAGTTCAGGCACCAGAAAAAAACAGTTTCCAGTTCTGAATTCATATTTATTCATTATATGAACTTGAATAAATCATTTAACTTCCAGAATTTAAGTTTCCTCATTGCTTAAATGAGGATAATCTCTGCCTTAGGTCTTTCATTAATTTGCTAAAAAGATCAAATGAGATGAAATATCTGAAACCCCTGTGTAAATTTTTCATTTGAGCAAGAATATTTTTCTCTCTGCTGAACCCACAGAGAAAAGCCAGAATGATGAGGGGAAAGGAAAGCAGAAAATGGAAAATGAAATCGGAAAAGTGAGCAAGAGTCTTGGGAAAAAGTAAAAAGGAAATATTTTTTAAAAAGCAATAAGGGTCAGTTGTGGTGGTACATGCTTGTAATTCCAGCATTCTGGGAGACTGAGGCAAGAGGATCATAAGTTCAAGCCCAGCCTGGGTAACTTAATAACTTAGCAAGACCCTGTCTCAAAATAAGATTTTTTTTAAAAGGGCTGGGTATATAACCCACTGCACAGCCCCTGGGTTCAATCCACAATATTGCAAAAAATGAAATAAATAAATAATTAAATAGGAAGACAGAAAGAGGAAGCATTCAGAGGAAGGAAAAGCTCAAGATAATTTCTTGACTACCTGTAATAAGAATTAGGACATAGATACTATATAGAACCCTTGTTTCAGCCTGGGAAAAAGGTTGGCCACAAATAAGTAAAGCTCCCCTACCTTTACCTTCCTATCATCTCAGTATCACCTGGACCTGTTCATCATCATTCATGACAATTTGCATTACTGTTTTCCCTAGAATTTGCAAAGTGTTCCTTTAATATAAAAATGCTCTTCTCTCCCTTCACCTTCCTTTCTAAATTGGGCTAGACTGGGCTGAACAGGATCATCCCAGACAAAAGATCACTCAATGAAAAATGAATGCTAAGCTATCCCCAACCTCTTAGCAAACTTCCAAACAGACCTACCATCAAGATTCACCTTTTGGTCCTCTGCTTTCTTAACTTGATACTCTTTCTTCACCCTGTGATGCAAAATATACTGAAGTTAAAGACTTTAATTCAAACCCCATATCTTACCTGTAATAGCTATATGACTTTTGAAATTATTTTCACCTATTTAAGCCAAAAATGGGGATGATATTTATTTCACAGGATTGTTTTGAGGCTCAAACAAAACAATGGATATTTAACCCCCTAATAAAGGGCTTGTTTGTCATATAGTGGATGCACTGTAATGAGACATTACAGACATCCACATCAATAAAAACTTTGGACACTATTATTTTATGAAATATAAGAGACTGAGGGTTAAGGGGTTTGCTCCAAGTTATGCAGCCAGTTACTGGTAAAGCCAGAATTTTAGCCCATGTTCACTGAAAGATTTCTGTTATTTAGATACTAAAAGTGAAAAGATAACTCCGATTTTAACTTAGTTCAGCTATCATTTATTGGCTTACTCTGCCTCAATCTGATCTAAAAACATGAAAGCAAGCATGGTTTTTAAGGGTTTGAGCCTCCCCATTTATGTAGTCTTCAGGTTCATCACCACAATATACCTCCCCAATCTGGGAGACAGAAAATAAGCCACTCTTTTCCATAGGACAATGAACTATTCTCTGTGACTCCAAGATCTTTCCAGAAACAGACAAGCCAGTGTGATCTTGACCATTTTGCCAAGAGGAACAAAAGGGAGCCTATTGTCTTCTTTAACTTCCCTGGGCACCCAGCCAAACTTCCTCCAACTTCTCAGCCACTAATTTTGCCAGCAGCTCAGGACTCCCATAAACCCAGATGAATAAGGGTTTTTGTTTTGTTTTGTTTTGTTTGCATAGGAAGGCAGGTGAGATCATTTATAAAGTGAGGAAAGAAAGCTTACCTTGGTAGAGAAAATACTTCCATATTCATGTCAGCTGCCCATTGATACTGAACTGCAGACCCTAGCCTGAGCCTGCCAGTCCTGTTTATTTAGTATCTTGGGTTATAGACCTTTCTTTAAAATTAAGTCCCAGGCTCTAGTATGGAGCAGGGGTATGGAGGGGATGGGGTGGGGGAGTACCCTGAAGTGAGTGAATGGGGGAGGGGATAGTTCTAGGTGCCCTCTTTTCCAGAAACTAAACTACTAGAATGTCTTTTTCCCCTCCACCATTGGTTTGGTACAAAACCCAGGCTGGTTCTTTGACCATATCCGGGTGTTTTCCAAATCCTGGTTAGGATCTCGAAAGGAATTGCAAGAGAGTGGGCTACACTTCTTTTATGGCAGCTTTCTGATCTGGGAGGAGAATGCACTGTCAGTGTGGCTAGTCAAAACTTGCAGGCAAAGTCTCACAGCCCCATTTAAGAAATAGGCTAGGCTGGGAATATAGCTCAGTGGTAGACCAACTGCCTAGCATGTATGAGAGCCTCGGTCGAATTCCCAGTACTGAAAAAAAAGAAAAAGAAGAAAGAAGGAAAGAAGGAAGGAGAGAGAGAGAGAGAGAGAGAGAGAGAGAGAGAGAGAGAGAAAGAAAGAAAGAAAGAAAGAAAGAAAGAAAGAAAGAAAGAAAGAAAGAAGAAATGAGCCTTTTACAAGGGTTACTGAATAAAGAAACTATTAACTTTTCCTTTTCTTGTTCAGAAGCACAGTTGCCAGCCCTGTCTGTTTTTCTGAGGTCATGGCCACTAAGAAATAGAAATAAAACCAGTAGTGAAACAAACAGCTTTTTTCCTTTATGCCCGGCCCTATGTTAACTACTTTACAAGTATTCTCTCATTTATTTCTCAAAATTATCCTGTGAGATAGGTACTGTAGGTCTCTATATTATGCAACAAAGAAAAACTAGACTCTGAGAGGGATGGTGACTTGCTCAATCACACATTTAGGAAGTAAAAGAAGAGTGAATTATCCTGGATCTGTATAGTCTCTTTGTGAGTACACTACCACATTGTGCTGTTTAGGGGAGAAACACAGACAGTTCCTTGGAAGTGGGGGAAGGAATTTAATTATTGAATGTCTGTTAGATTTTTTTCATAGTTTAACTCCACCTTTGTCATTTCTAGCAGATTCTAGAACAAAATTCCAAGGATATATTAACATTTTCCATCAGATGAAACCACTAGCAGGTAGCCTGGATTTACAAAGGTCAGTTAACAGCCTGAAAACTAAGATTCAGAAATAGTAGAAATAATTTTTAAAACATGGGCTCTAACAATTTAGGATAAAAATGAAGCCTGGGTTTATTTAAAGCCAAAGGTTGTTCCTATTCCTGCTGGATAGAAAACAGGGAGGTAGATTTTGTGGAGATGGGAATGGGCTCTAGGAGTGAGGTGAGATGGGAGGGCCAAGAGGAAAAGGGAAAGTAAAATTGATTAATATGTGATATTTAGAATGTATTATCATGTATCACAAAAATATACCAAGAAAAAAAGGAGAAAGTAGTGAAAAATCACTGACCTGAGTTAAGCAACCTAGCCCCCAGTTCCCCTTCCATTGACAGTAATCAGCTTCAGTCTGTGCTTTGCCCCAGGCCCTTCTCTTTTCTGGGCCTCTTTCCATTTATAAAATGAAGGCTTTGAACTAGATATGGACCCTCACAGATGTGTAAAAGTATAGATCTAAGACTCTGTGAAAAGGGCACATTCTAGATATTAAGAGTGGAAAATAAAGAAGTGACAAAGACACAAAGTAATAAGGAAGGAGTAGGTGGGGAGTAATTCCTGGCGATAAAGCTGAATACCTCATGCCTCTTTGGAAAAGACAGCACATCCACCAAATCCAAGTATAGGAAGGGGACAGGTATACTGCCTGGTTTTCTTACTTTGTGATGAGGAGATCTTGGCTAGAAGCAGATGCTGTTCTTCGGGCAGGTGAGGCACATTTTCCTTTCCTGGAATTAAAGCATTTAGAACAGTTCAGGGAAGAGGACCTTCAGAAGACTGAGCTGGTGGGCCAAAGTCTAGGTCATAAACCACTACAGGTTCTTAAAAGTGATCAGGCACTTAGGAACTCTCCCACTGACTGCAGCCCAGCCTGAGAAAAGTGGAAGTACTAGTAAAGGGAGGGAGGAGCTACAAGCCTCAGCTCTCTCAAAACCGCTCAGTGGTCAAAGGAAGCTGGATCAGGCCACGGCAGCACCTAGGATTATCTGCCTGGTACAGATCTGGACCTTGAAGCCAGAGGGAGAAGGTGGGGACCAAAACCATTAACTTGAGATCCAAGTCCAGGCTCTAAGGCATTTATGATCGGGAGGGGAAGGGATAAGGCTTCTGCTGTGACTCATGAAAGACAACAAGGAACAGCTCATTATGGAAGCTCTTGAGTCAACACTGTGAAGACTGCGGGAGGCCTCCTAGGCCAGATTTCTAAGCTTGTATTATTTATTCACAATTTTCACTAGAAGATACACTGTGCCCACTTCCTCTGCAAATCCTCAGCATATTTCTGGTGCTTTCTCTCAGGGCTCACTTGAAAATATTTTAAAGTGGATACCTTTAGAACAGGAATTGGCAAAGGTTGGTAAACAGAACAGGAATTGGTAAAGGATCTCTTTGTAAATATTTTATCTGTAGAACATACAGTTTCTGTATAGCATAACTATTCAAATGTACAATTGTAGCTATTGAGGTATATCTATATTCCAATAGAAATTTATTTACAAGAACAAGCATTGGGTGAGATTTGACCCAGCAGCTATATAGTTTAATAACACCTGCTATAGACTTTTTTGCAATGTAGATATTGAAAATATGGCATCATTGTTAAGGGCATGAAAATGACAATGAGATATCCTGGATTGAAATTCCCAACTCTAAACTTTACTGAGGCTGTAAACTTGAAAAAGTAATTGAATCTTTCTAAACCTTGGTTTTCACCTATGTAAAATGGAGATAATAGTACTGCCTATTTCATAGAACTGCTAAGAAAAATTAAATAAAATCATAAATACAAACTGGCACAGTGTCTAGTACAGAGTAAAGGGGGAATGAAGGTTATTATTTTAGTTTTTAATAAAGCAATAAGTCTAAATTATTATTTCCTCATTAATACAAGTAGTGCTAATTCATGACAGAAATTCATAAAACATTCATAAAGAATGTTTCAAAATCCTGACTTTGTATTCTAGTTAAGCTACTAAAGAGTCCATGGTGATCCTGAAGAAGTAATTTTGCCTTGCTGGGATTCAGTTCCTTTACCTGGAACATGGAGCAGATGGCCTAGATTTGTTATTTTCAAAATTAATTTTGTCAGGAGAAGCCTTTTCCCAAACAGAATCTTGGTAAATACCTACTATCTATGGAATAAGAAAGTAGACGTAGCTGTTCTACACAACTCCAGAAAGGAGGCAATGGGCATGACTCAGAGGAATCAGGGACCTACCCAGCTGAGACACCGGCCCTCCCAAGCAATGTGGCCAACCTTGGTGCATCAACAAGGAAATCGTACTGAAAACAGGTATGACAAGCAAAAGACTAGGATAACTTTAATGAGGCTTCAAGTCTTAAGGTCAGTCATGAATCCATCCCTTCATTTGTTCATCTACTCAATCAATATTTTCAGTTTATATTTATATGAACCATCCAAGGGCTACAAAGATGAAAAGATCCACAGGTGTAAACTTCCCTCTTAGGAAGACTTTAGGAAGTCCCTTAAATTCTGGTATATTGTACTGGCATTATCATTTAGTTCTAGAAACTGCCTTATTTCTTAATTTCTTCTATAACTCATTGTTTAGTAATGAGTATATTGTTTAGTTTTCATGCATTTGCATAATTTCTGTGTTTTTTGTTGTTGATTTCTAACTTAATTGCACTATGACCTGATAATATGCATGAGATAATTTCAATTCTTTTACATTTTCTTAAGCTTGCTTTACTGACTAGTATGTGATCTATTTTGACTAGCATGTGCTGCTGAAAAGAAATGTGTACTCTGTTGTTGTTGGGTGGGACACTCTGTAAATATTTATAAAGTCCATTTGTTATTGGTAGTACCTTCAGAAATGGCTTGCCAATTAAACATATTCCAGGTCCTACTTGTCTGAAACAAAGAATTGAATGAGACAAGTCAGAAATGGTGCCACAAGTTTATTTGAAAAGTGAGGGGTGAAGGAGTAAGGGAGAAACTGGCTCTGCAGAGTAAACTTGGGCCAAACAAGAGAGAAAAAGAGCAAAAATAAAAGTATTCCCCACTTTGGGAGACAGAGCAGACTATCATGAAGAGCCACAATATGGGATCCAGTCTCTTTTATGCTGTCCACATTTCATGGGAGCTCACAAGAACCTCCACATACAGGATCCTGGGAATTATTTGACACTGTCCTGGAGTCTTGTAATTGACTAGTCCCATTTATTCCCTCCACCAGCTTTGCCATGCCTATTTCCAATCTCATGTCCTCCTGAGAGACATAAATTCCATAATTGTTTATAGGGTGCTGTTATGGTTTCGGACTAGATGTCCCCCCAAAGCCTCATGTGATCAGAGGTGGCTTAATGTAGAGTGTGCAATTCTGGGATTAAGGGCGTGTGGTTACTAAATCAATACACTGATTGGTTTGGCACCACTCTAGCCCTAACCCTAGTAGCCTGGATATAATATAAGTAACAGAAAGAGACTTGCCTTCTCCCTTGTTGTTTTTGCTTCCTTCTGGCCACCATGAACTGTTTCTCCTCTGCGAGGCCTGTCTACCATGCCACCCTGCCTTGGAGCCAGCCAATTATGGACTGAAACCTCTACAAACTGTGAGCTAAATAAAACCTTTCTCCTTTAACTTTGGGTGGCAAGACATTTGTCTAAGCAATGAGAAAAGTAGCTAAAACAGGTGCTGAAAGGGTGATGGTCTCTGTCTTCTATAACTTATTCAAGCTGGAAGAGCCTGTGGACCCCACCTATTACAGACTGTGCTCTGTAACTATGTTGGAGCACCTATCTTTTGCCACCTCTCAGTTTGTATTATACCCAGACCTTATTGCAATAGTAGATAAGCTGCTTTTGTTTTAAATTGTGAGGATCAAACCTGTCCTATTCATCAAGGATATGGTCTAATGGAAAAATCAGTGGAATCTGTGTGGTGACAAGGTCCAAGAGGTTTCCCATTGCCTCAGCTTGGGGCCTATAAAGAGAGACAGCTGGGTCTGATCCCCTCAAGATTACATTCCATGCAGAAGGAGAAGACCCAGAGTCCCCAAGGTGCCCTTTGTGAGACTACACAGCCTGGATGGATGTCTCTGTCAGAGTGATGCCAGCATGATTTACCACAGAAGAAAACCTTTTCTCCATATTGGGACCCATTAATTCCTTAGGGGCAAGGGGGCTGAACCATCTCTTGTACTTGCCTAGTCCTTTAATTTCAATGAAGTAATTGCAGAACTTTAACAAGTAAAGTTCTTTTAACCACTTAGTTGAATCTCTTGATGGCCCAACTTGCATTTATTCTAAGCCACTTGATGGCTTAGCTAATATTTCAAGTCCCTTGAAGACTCTACTTACCCAGAGTGAGACCATATGGGAAGAATATCTCTTGTACTTATTTCCATGGAAAAAGGACTAAGAATGGGGATGGCTCTGTTTTTATATACTCACAGTTACTTTGGTTAGGTTTTAAATGCTATTAAATGCTGTTGTGCTTAGGCATCAGGCATAGGTCTTTAACTTATCTGTATTTAAACAAGGAAGCACAAAAGCCAGGTGGCAATAGCCTCAGGCAGGCTGTTAGACTGGGAGAGAGTTATGTTGATAAGCTGAACGCACTGATAGTGGCTGAGGTACACAGTCGCAGGCTCTAGAGCCTTTTTTAGCACCAGTGCCAGCTTGGAGACTATCTTCCAGAGACCATGCCTGTGAAACCACAGCCCTCTCATTTCTCTCTCTGCCACCACCTGTGGTCTGAAGACTCCATCATGCTTTAAGAAGTCATCTGCATGACTGTGATGTATGACTGTCCTGGCTTTCCTCTGGGGACAATTTTTGGTCTCTGAATTCCATTTGCTGCTTTTTCCAGGACTTCAAGGCAGGAGGTTTTGCACTTGAGCATGCACCAAAATACCTTGAGTGTTTGCTAAGATACTGAGTTTCTACTTCAGTAAATTTTGGGGGTAGTCCAAGAATTCTCATTTGTAACAAATTCATTGGTGATGCAGCTGCTGCTCGTCTGAGGATGATGCTTTAGGATCACCACTCTAAGGGACTTTTGCTAGGAGGTTCACCATATGCTAGCTTACTTGCACCTGCAGATTGGACAGAACTTCAAGTTCCTAGCTCCTCTGCTTTTCAGGTGTCCATTCTTTGGACCTAGGCCACAAATATATTTCCTGTAGCCTCCTGGAAACTCATTCATGTGGAATTTTCCTGAGAATCCTCTGATCCCTTATTTGCCCTAGGCCTTCAGGTCAGCCTGGGTGAACCTTTCTTCCCTCTCCCTGTTTAGGTACTTGTTTTATGTTTTTATTGCCTGCCTCTCTAGCAGCTCTATAAATGGCATAACCTTCTGCTTCTAACTCTGTTCTACTTTCTCACTTGGCTTCCTGATGGTAGGCTCTGGGAACAGATAAGTTTGATTTGAGTCTTAGCTCTGCCTCTTCTAAACATGTGTGATACTGGGAAAGTCACTGAGTTCTCGGGCCTCAGTTTTGTCATCTGTAAAATCTGGCTGTAAGAATGAAATGGAAGAATGCCCATTAAGGGGACTACCCTAGCACATGTCACATAGCAAGCGAACAGCAAATGTTAGTCTTTATTTTTTGCTTTTCTTTCTTCACTTTCTTCACACCTGCCTCTCCCCTCCCCCCCACCCACCACATACAAACTACTAAAGAGTTTACAGTATGCAGGAAAGATAAAACAATGCACAAAGTGTTTCATTAGTATAACTGGATATGGTAAGTTGGAGAAGAATGGTTTATAGTAAGCGCTATACTATTTTAAAGGGAGAGGATGTAATTTTCAATGGAGAGATATCAGAATAAACTTCATGAACAACTGAATGACA